AGCGCCGGCCAGGTCCGTATGCAGACTTTACCTTTTGTATGTCTGATTGATAAAATCTCGCATTCATAACTTATCTGTATGTGACATACTTGAGTGGCTTTTAAAGCACAGATGGATGCTGAATTAATTTACAGAAATTATGAATGGACATAAATGTATACATTAGGTAGTGCAACATTAACATCCGTAGCCAGTATGAAACAAACAGAGGAATTTGCTTCAGTCATTTTTTTCGTTTTTGTTGTGTTGGCTTTTTTTTGTTGAAGGAGGAAAGCAAAAGACCTCCTGTTGACGGAAGAAAGCAAAAGACTGCCTAAATACCTAGGAAGAAAATTTAATCAAGGGTTTTGCCTCAGTCATAATTTGTTTCTGGCTGCGGCCCTGATTAATGGCGTGTCTGGGGCATTCAACATTGATTTAAAAATAAAGCAAATAAATCTAAAATGAAATAAATATAATATACAAATTAATCCGATTTAATTTATATCCATTGATGAGGACTGGTTTTTGTGATTTCCTCAGTTGCTCAACTGAATTGCTCACAAAAGCTTATGGATTTTTTCTAATTATTATTTATAGTTCGACCATTCTCATCACCGCTTTTCTTTGCCAAACAAATTGCTTAGATGTTACAAATTCTATATTTACAAGTGTATGCATTGTTGTCGGTCATCACTGAAATCAATATTTACTTCAAAGAGTTATTACATAATCAAGAGTAAAATATGGGTTATTTTGCCTTCTGAGGGAAATTTTGTGAAAGTATGTTCAGAGTGACCAAACAAGGATGGTTATGAAGCCCAGCAAATTTCAAAGGAGCGGAAAAGGATGCCTTAAGGTAAAATATTGGAAGATTGACGACTTTGCAAAAATATCTTTGTTTAGCGCTGATAAGCTGTACGTGAAGTACGTAACTAAAATGTTTCTATAGGTTTAAGTTGCTGAGACTAAAGAAAACACSATATTTCTGTGTCAAAGTTAAGGRGYCGCCCCCCACCACAAAAGGCACAAAATCTAGTGTGGGTCACTCTATTAACTATGATGCATACATTACCCTTATTCTACCCTAAATATTTCCCTCATTTCTACCTTGAGTGGGCCGCCTCAATGTAGCTGATAAATAAGCGTTTAGGACACAGACCAGGTCAAAGCCAGTACACCACACTTTTGAAACCCAGATCTTTTGAATATTGGTAATGTAATACAAAATTCCCATAATTCGAAATCAGTGGAGCCAGTAAGGAGAATTACTATTTTGAACTACGGACTAAAATATAAACCAAAAAATATATTACATTCCAGCAACAAAATGAAGTTTACACATAATTAATTTTCACATTCTTTGTCAAACTGTGTTCCTTCTTTACCCACTGTTTGTTGTTTTTAGGCCGTAATCTCAGGGAAATCACTACTGCTGTGATATCAGCACCGCAAATGATCCCCGACCACAAATGATTCCCAGACCGGAAATGATCCCTAAACTGGACCTCTCTCGGCTCACCACCCCCTGCTTCGTCGATTTTTTGCTCTTGCTCCAATTTACGCGCGGCCAGAATGCGGAAAAGCTCAGCATCGTAACTCTTCGTACGGGAACGCTCG